TGCAAGGACGTGTAGTTGTATGAAATGGAAAACATCTGGTTATCCGTGTGGCCATGTTATAAAAGTTGCTCTTCATCTAAACCAAGATGATTCAAGCACATACGCTATGGATTGCTACACTACAGAAGTATATCGACAGACTTATGCCGAGATTGTCTACCCTATTCCACATCCTTCTGAGTGGGACATACCAGATGACTTACAAACAGTTTTGCCACCAGCCATGGACAGAAGGCTACCTGGCCGACCAAAAAGTCACGATTTTATACCGTCTAAGGGTGAAGAGAAGAAGAGATCGAAATGTAGTCGGTGCAAGGAAAGTGGTCATACAAGGTTGACATGTGGATCACCAGTGCCATCACAATCATCTTTTCCTCTACCAAAATATGGATCATCATCAAAATCCAAAGCTCATATGGTGTCAAGAAAAAGGCAATCAAAATCGCAATCATCTTTAAAATCCCAATCACAACTGGCTTCACCTTTTGGGACTGTTAACTTAGGTGATTTTTGTCGAAACGATTTTTAACTGCGGGGGGAGCGATTTTGAAAAACCGCGTCATTTTTAATTATTCTCTTTTCAATTGAATTTTAATTAAAAACGATGCAATTTTAGAAAACCTCTCGTTTCGAAAAATTGGAAATTCCGTTACGGTAAAATAATAAGGTTCGAGGAGTCGCCACCAATCTTTGATTAGGGTGTGATTGGGCACCCAAAAACATTTTGTCATTTTAAATAAAAATTAATTAAAACGACAAGTAGAGGTCTGCGTTATCAAAATCTGAGTTCGGGAGTCGGTTACGTGTGGGGAAGGATTAGCACCCCCACAACGCCCTAAATTGGTACCTAGTCGATTAATTATTGTCTTTGCAACGAATTTCACAAGTTTGAGTTTAATTTGATTAATGATCCCTTTAGACGACAAACATGCAAATTTGCAACATTCAAAGCAAAAAAATAGATTTAATTTAAAATTACCAAGTCATTAGAAAGATAAAGAATATTCGATTATTTAAAAATATCGAGACCAGATCTTTAGTTCAGTTCTAACGACCTTTTCTCGAAAAGTTTAAATAGTCGAATATTTCCTTTTCTTTCGCTCCCAAATTTTACAATGATATATCCAAATTTAATTAGGCGTTACTGACGGGATACCATTTTAATTTAAAATCGTCAAAACAACTTTCCTGTAAGTTAAGGAAAGCCATTCTGATAATTTTAGATTAAAAGGGCATTACCCTTAATTCCGATTATGTGATTAGATCGAGTCATGCACATGAGGCTAAACATGCATAAAAGCTACACCTAAATATACGAACGCTAACAACATGCTCGGAATGTGATATCTCAATACAGATCCCATACACATTTAAAATATATATATATATATATATATACACTCTATACATAGCTATACTTAATGAACAAAGATGGCCTAAACACAACCAACGAAAACACAGCATAACAAATTATAAAATTTCAGAAAATAATTATATTTAAATTAAACTTTAATATCCTACTTATGAATAAAATACAAATTAAGGTAGAAATGCTAGCATTATACCGTACTGAATACTAAGAACTGAAATGAAACTATTCTCATTACAAGGGACTAAAAACAAAATAAAACAAAACACACTCAGGACTAAAATGCAACATACAAAAATGTGGATGTCGAATGTTTAAGACAACAAAGATTTAAACACAACAAAACATAGGGCTAAAATAAAAGAACTCGAAACAACAGGCCAGAAACATAAATAACACAAGATATGAATTAACAAACGAGATGGACTAAAATAAATGTCCTGAAATTTAAGAGTCAAATACATAAAACTGTGAAAAACTTTAAACAACATGGTTCGTACTAAAATGTAGCAAACATAAAGATTGAGAGCCCAATTTAAGATTTCCACAACATCAAAGCGGGGATTAAAACAAAACAGTTGAGAACTGCAGGGACCGCGACGTGGTTAAACCTCTCCTAGGCTCGGGTTCAAACGGCGTCGTTTTGGAAGCTGAACATATTAGGTGCCTTCGGTTTATTTTTAACCTAATTTTCATTTTCCCTTTAGTTTCATTTTAGCAAACTTATCCCCCCCCCCGCCGTTCTCAACTTCTCTCCCTCAAACTCTCTCCTAACCCTCGACGAAGCCCAAGACCTCCCTGGTATCTGCCGTAGCAACCGCCGTGGTTGCTACCTCCAAACGACCCCGACGAGAACCCCTTCAAGTACCAACCTAAACCGGCAACCTAAACCCAAACTAAACTTGAAAACCCAACCGGCTTCACCCTCTAGTAAACCTACAAAAACCACGGCCATCGCGACCTTTTTTCTTCCCCAAAAGACTCCGATGAGAGCCACCATCCAACTACCCGGCCAACATATGACCAAATCTACACCGAACCTTCCAAATCCCTAAAGCTCGAGACCTAAAACCGACATGCACGACTCCAAATGAACGGGAAGCAAAAGGTTTTACCTTATCGCAGACGGGGTGTGGATTTCTAGTGACGAAAGTTACTGGATCGAAAGGGTAAGTGTCTTGCCTTGGGTTTGTGTTCTATGGTTGCTGGTTGCTGGGTATTTCGTTTTTTTTTTGTGTTCTTTTTGGGTTGTATTCTCTGTTGTTTTTTTATGACTGAGGGATTGGTGTTTCCCTTTTTTTTGTTCCTCTCCCTTGCCGATCATCGAGAGCTCTCCCCTTCCTTTCCTTTATATTTCTAGTTTATAGATTTCTTTCCAGTTTTCTTCTTTTCTGTTTCTGTTCTCGTTTGGTGTGTTTGCAGGGCTCTGGAGCGAGCAAGTCACGGGCGCGAGCAGCCTGGGCACAGGCGATGGGGAACAGTCCCGAGAGACTTCACGTGGGTAGCACCCGGTTGGTTCGTGCTGTCTTGGAGTTCCGAGTGCGTTAGGAGCCGTTGGATCACCTCCGATCTAACGGTGGAGGCTTCTGGGAGGATTGAGAGTCGTTGGATCATGAAGCCAGATCCAACGGTGGAGGCTCAGCTGCGCATGGAGATGGTGACAGGAAACCCTAACGGGTCTAGGGTATCCTCAAATGGGCTGCTACTTTGGGCTTGAGCCTGTTGTATTTTAATTATTTGGTTCGGCCTGTAACAAAAATGGCAATATTTAGGGCATATTTTATATATTTAATTATTCAATTATTTAACTATTTAATTACTTATCCGTATATATATATATATATATATATTAATAACTACATAATACCAAACTTATAATAATAACCGAAATTGCAATAAAAACAATAATAAAACCCGATTAAACACGAATAACACCCCGGACAAATTGAGCGTCTACAGCTGCCCCTCTTTGTTCATTGTCGTGGAACGAGAATAGAGCAAAGATCAATAGATGGTCAAATTTGTCCAGTCGTGAAAAATTCAAAAGATTAATCCGCTTCGCTACAACTTCAGGATAAGTGAGACTTGAAAAATTTTTCAACATCGGGTTCGCTCCCTATCGTTTCAGGGAACATAGAACTCGAATAATCTTCTGCTACCGGGTTCGCTCCCTATTGTTTCAGGGAGTATAGAACTCAAGAATCTTCTGCTAACCGGTTCGCTCCCTCTTTCTTCAGGGAGAATAGAACTCGAATATCTTCAACAATCGTGTCTGCTCCCTATTTCTTCAGAGAGTATAAGACCCAAACAATCTTCAACAAATCTTGTCTGCTCCCTATTCCCTCAGAGAGTATAAGACTCGAACAATCTTCAATGATCGCGTCTGCCCCCTATTTCTTCAGAGAGTATAAGACTCGAACAATCTTCAACGATCGCGTCTGCCCCCTATTTCTTCAGGGAGTATAAGACTCGAACAATCTTCAACGATCGCCTCTTCCCCCTATTTCTTCAGAGAGTATAAGACTCGAACAATCTTCAACGATCGTTGGGAAACCTGTAAATATTTAAGTCATCATGCCATGTCATGATCCTATTCATGCCTAAAATGTATGCAAATGTGCAATTTAATGCATTTTCTTCTTCGAAGGAAACTCATATCTTTTGATTTCAATAGAACTCGATTTCGTTTCGGGTACAGAGCATTTGACCAGTTCACCCCAGCTAACACTTTCAATACCATATCTTTTGGCTCGACCGGACTTTGACTTCTTTCTTTCTTGAAACCTGCTGGTACACATGACCAACTTCTTGATAAATGACAACATCCTTGGGTCATCCATTAATGGCTAAGATTGTCTATGGATTCCAAAGTTTTAGCTTTTCGCAACCCTACAAGCTTATGGGTAAAACCATTACTAGCTTCAGAATACCTGCATTTCCAAAACCTTTTGCATAATAATACAAAATGATCTCATGTACCACAGGTTAAGCTATACGTTTTAACTTTTTCAAAGTTAGATGCTTGTAAAAGGGAAATTAAGAAGGGAAAATATCTCTTTATTTATATAAATGTGAAGAATTTTTAGGCAACTACATGACCAACTTTTAATCGGAAAAGAACAAAAGGATAGGTGTCTTCAAATACCAATAACACAAATGCTTTTGAACTGGCACGCCGTCAGAATGACTCGAGTGTAGCTTCTGTCAAAAGGACCTCTAAAATGGTGATGACACCTAAGAGTGCGAAACCCTTTCTGGACCCCAAAATCTCCCATTATTGGATGCCATAAACCAATATTGAATCTCACGTGCATTCAATTCCTCCTCTGGTTGTCCCCACCGAGACTCATTGATCTTTGGTCTCAACCCCAATGGCCATTGTCGTTACCCATGTCAGGAGATCTTCCTACTCCCCAAAAACAATTCAGATCCTCCACCATACACGAACTCTGAATTAAAAACTCAAATCGCCCTTTGCGGGTTTTCGACTCGAGACCTCCTTTGGTTTCAAGATGCCCTTTTCGAGTTTTCATCTTGAACCCTCATTTTTTCATTTTTTTCATTCATTTTTTGTTTTTTATTTTTCATTTTTTCATTTTCACTCATTTTTTCTTCTTTTTTTTTTTTTTCTTCAAGCAAAATACTTCTTAACTGCGTCAGAATTCATTGGATGAGGTAATTCAGACCCATCCATCTCAGTTAAGACCAGAGCTCCCCCAGAGAAAGCTTTCTTGACAACATAGGGTCCTTCCCACTTGGGCATCCATTTCCCTCGGAAATCTTTTTGAATGGGCAATATCCTCCTGAGCACCAAATCTCCTTCGTGGATTTCTCGAGGGCGAACTTTCTTATCATGTGCTCGTATCATCCGCTTCTGGTATATCTGACCGTGACAAATAGCCTTCAATCTCTTTTCTTCAATCAGATTCAATTGGTCATATCTGGCCTGTACCCATTCTGCCTCATTTAGCTTCACCTCTGATAAAACCCGGAGCGAGGGAATTTCCACTTCAATAGGGAGGACAGCTTCCATCCCATAAACTAGAGAAAACGGAGTTGCCCCAGTAGACGTCCGTACAGAAGTCCGATAGGCAAACAGAGCAAATGGCAACTTCTCATGCCAATCTTTATAAGTTTCAGTCATCTTCTCTATAAGCCTCTTAATATTCTTATTAGCCGCCTCCACTGCCCCATTCATCTTTGGGCGATAAACCGTGGAATTATGATGCTTTATTTTGAATTGCTCACATACAGATTTCATCATCTTGTTGTTTAAGTTCAATGCATTGTCAGAGATAATTCTCTCTGGTAAGCCATATCTGCAGATGATTTCTTTCTTCAAGAACCTACATATCGTTGACTGGGTAACACTTGCATAGGAAGCTGCTTCTACCCACTTGGTGAAGTAATCTATTGCTACCAGAATGAAGCGATGACCATTTGACGCTTTTGGAAAAATTTGCCCAATAACATCCATGCCCCACATAGAAAACGGCCATGGAGCTGTCATCACATGCAACGGATGAGGAGGGGTGTGTATTCTATCCCCATAAATCTGACACTTGTGACACTTTCGGGCATAATTGATGCAATCAGTTTCCATAGTTGACCAATAATACCCAAATCTCATAATCTGTCTGGCCATTACATGCCCATTAGCATGGGTGCCACATATTCCTTCATGTACTTCTTCAAGGATCATTTTCGCTTCTTTAGTGTCCACACACCTTAATAAGACCTGATCCATGCTTTTCTTATATAAGATCTCACCATTAAGCACATACCCTGCTGCCATTCTTCTAATGGTCCTTTTGTCATTCTCAGTTGCCTGTTCGGGGTAACTTTGATATCTTATATACTGGAGGATATCATAGTACCAAGGTCCTTCATCATCTTCTTCTTCAATGTTAAAGCAGTGGGCTGGATACTCATAAGCCTTCATCTCAATAGGCATCATATTTGAATGCTCGTTCATCTTAAAGGCCGCCGCCAAAGTAGCCAAGGCGTCCGCCATTTGATTTCTTCTCTGGGGAGGTAATTGAAAGTCACTTCTTCAAATTCTTCAATAAGTCCCAGAACTAATTTACGATATTCCACAAGTTTGGGATCTTTGGTTTCCCATTCACCTCTGAGCTGGTAAATTACCAAAGCTGAATCCCCATATACCCTCAGCATTTTTGCTTTGAGTTCAATAGCTGCTCTAAGACCCATAACACAAGCCTCATATTCAGCCATATTGTTTGTACAATCAAAATTGAGCCGACTGGTAAAAGGATAATGCTCTTCACTTGGTGAGACCAAGATTGCCCCAATCCCATGCCCCAAGGCGTTTGAAGCACCATCAAAGTTCATCTTCCAGTATTTACCGGTGAGCGCGACTGTTTCTTCCTCCGCGATAGCCATTAAATCCTCATCTGGAAAATCGAAGTTCAACTGTTCATATTCTTTTGAAGCCCTACTCGCAATGAATTCTGCTATGGCGCTCCCTTTAACTGCCTTCTGGCTTACATACTGGATATCAAATTCGGACAACAGGATTTGCCAACGGGCTAACCTTCCTGATAATGCAGGGACCCCCATTAGATACTTTAAAGGGTCCAGCTTAGATATGAGCCAGGTAGTATGATACAACATATATTGTCTAAGTCTTCTGGTAGCCCACACTAAAGCGCAACACAATTTTTCAATGGGTGAGTATCTGGCCTCACACTCCGTGAACTTCTTACTGAGATAGTAGATAGCCCTCTCCCTCTTCTCAGTTTGATCATGTTGCCCCAACACACATCCCATTGAATTGTCATAAACGGACAAGTACATAATTAAAGGCTTTCCTGGGATAGGTGGCGCTAGGATCGGAGTATTCGAAAGATATCTCTTTACTGCCTCAAAAGCCTCTCTGCAATCTTCACTCCATTCTCCCGAATCATTCTTACGAAGAAGGCGGAATATGGGATCACATCTTTCGGTCAGCTGCGAGATAAACCGAGCGATGTAATTTAATCTCCCCAAAAATCCTCGAACCTCTTTCTGTGTTTTTGGGGCTGGCAAATCTTGAATGGCTTTTACTTTGTCGGGATCTATTTCGATTCCCTTCCGGCTTACTACGAATCCCAACAGTTTTCCCGATGTCACCCCAAAAGTACACTTATTTGGGTTAAGTTTTAGTTGGCACTTCTTTAATCTTTGAAAGAGCTTCCTCAAATTCTCGACATGTTCCTCCTCCGTCTTGGCTTTGACAATCATATCATCGACATAGACTTCAATTTCTTTATGCATCATGTCATGAAACAACGTCACCATGGCCCTCTGATAGGTTGCCCCTGCATTCTTTAATCCAAACGGCATGACTTTATAGCAAAACGTCCCCCACATAGTGATAAACGTTGTTTTCTCCATATCTTCAGGGTACATTTTAATTTGATTATAGCCGGAGAAACCATCCATAAATGAGAATAAGGAATTTCCAGCAGTATTGTCCACTAACGTATCTATATGTGGCAAAGGAAAATTATCCTTTGGACTAGCTCTATTCAGATCTCTATAGTCGACACACATTCGTACTTTCCCATCCTTCTTTGGTACTGGGACAATATTTGCTACCCACTCAGGATATTTGGCCACAGTGAGAAACCCAGCGTCAAATTGTTTCTTCACTTCTTCTTTAATCTTGAGCAGCATCTCGGGTCTCATTCTTCTCAGTTTCTGTTGTACGGGCTTGCAATCAGGCTTTATTGGTAATTTATGGACAACCAATTCTGTATCCAGCCCTGGCATGTCCTCGTATGACCAAGCAAATACATCCTTGAACTCCTGAAGTAATTCTATCAAGCTTTGCCTCCCTTCAGTAGACAGGGTGGTACCAATCTTTATTTCCTTTCTATCCTCATCTGTACCCAGGTTCAAGATCTCTGTAAGCTCTTCGTGAGGCAGGATCTGCTCATCTTCCTGTTCCACCATCTTTAGTAATTCTGAGGGTGGTTCACATCCCTCATCCTCATCACAACCTTCGATTTCCCCTTGACATATGGGCATCTCGAAATCAATCTCCGGGTCAGAGTCATTAGCATTCGTATTATTGATACCTGAGTTCCTGAAAGGATAACGAAAAAGAAGATATATACATATATACATATATATACATATGGGAGAGTCTTTTCCCATATAAACAAATAGAAAGAAATAATATATGTGTATATTCAAACAAAAATGCATGAGGAAGTGTTTGCCATTCGGGAATTAACAAAACACATCTTTTATTGAAAGCAAGTAAAAACACACAACTTAACCCTTTACATCAAATCACCTACTGTCCCAGGGTATGAACAATAGGGAAGAGTTCCAGTGTATTACTCTGCAAAAGATTTGTAAACTACGGGCAATTCCTCCGCAGTCCAGTTGTTCAACACAAAGCCCAGTGGCGCAGGGTAAATGCCCATAGCTCTCATTTCTTTGAACTCCTCATCGGTTATGACATTAATGCCCAAGTCCTCCAAGGCATTCTCAACTATCCCTTTACTGCTTTCCAAAGTCCCTTGAAACATATATCCTCCTGATACGAAAATGCTGCTCAATGGCGGGAATGTCATGGGCTCCCAGCTTGGGTCCTCACCAGTCAATCTTGCCTTTCTCAATTCCTGAATCTTCTTGATGCTTCTCATTTTTTCTTTTAAAGTTGGCTGATACCCTAAACCGAACCTGTCTCTTTTAGTTACAGGGTAGATTGGGCCCACCAGTCCTTGCAACCGACGTCCAAACCCTTTGCCAGTTTTTGCTCCTCTTCCAAGAGTCAGCTTAAGCCCCATTTTGGTGCAGTTTGACAATCTAGGCTTCGGGATCTTCTTTCCTTCTGCCGCAAACATGGCATTGACGTATTCCAACGATCTGAAAGAACATTCAACAGCTTGCTCTTCCACTTCAACGTATGGAGCAGTAGTAGAAACCGAAGCAATAATGTCTTCCTCAGCATGAATGCATATAAGCCTCCCATCCATTGCAAATTTTATCCTTTGGTGCAACGTTGACGGAACCGCACCGGCCTGATGAATCCAGGGCCTTCCCAATAAACAGTTGTATGTAGGCATGATGTCCATCACAAGAAACTCCACTTCGTATATCGCCGGGCCAATAGTCAAAGGGATATCAATCTTGCCTAGAACTTCTCTCTTCGTTCCATCAAAAGCTCGAACCACACTTTGACAGCTTCTCATCAGGGTGCTGTCCACTGGCAATTTTTTCAGGGTCACCAAGGGCATCACATTTAACGCCGAACCGTTATCTATCAGTACTCTGGATAGAACATGCCCTTTGCACCTAACTGTGATGTGTAGGGCCTTATGATTGCCAATCATCCCAGAAGGGATCTCGTCCTCAGAAAAAGATAAAAAATTATCGGCCTGGATGTTGGCAACTAGTCGGTCCAGCTTTTCTGTGGGTATCTCCTTCGGGACAAATGTTTGGTTTAAAACTTTTAACAGGGCGTTGCGATGAGCCTCTGAACTCAGAAGAAGTGATAGGACAGAAATACGGGCAGGCAGCTTGTGCAATTGCTCAACAATACTGTATTCACTATGTTTCAGAAATTTTAAAAATTCCATCGCTTCATTCTCCGTTACTGGCTCATTGACGATGGGTTCATCTTCTCTTATCTGCACATCGATACTTTTTCCTTTCTCGACAGCAATCTTTTTCTCAGGTTCTTTGTGATAACATCTACCACTCCTGGTCATGTGTCCCACTTCATCTACCTCTTCCTGTTGCTTTGTCGCCTCTCCTATTTGACAAGTATATCTCCAGGGTACCTGTTTATTGTCTTTGTACAGGAACGGAGAGGGAGGTGTAATAATCACCTTTGGAGCTACCTTCTCAGCCACTCGATTCTTGGGAGTAATGACGAGGGGACAACTAGCACTATAGACCTCTTTGGATGATCCCTCAGAGGCGTAAACTTCCGCTTCTTCTTTCTCAGCCCCTTCTTTGAAGAACTCGATTTCCTTACTATCCATCATCTCTTGTACCAGCCCTAAGAAATCAGAACACTGTTGTATACTGTGTTTTGTGCAGTTATGGTAGTGGCACATCTCTTCGTTATTGAAATGTTCACGTGGCAGATTAGTCTTTAATAGTCCTACCTTGACCATTTGGCGCCACACCCAAGACATGGGTGACATCACCTCCCTAACATTTTTTACAGTCGTTTTTCCTTTCTCTTCAGCGACTGCATTAACCCCGGCTCCTGCATGGTTTGGCAATGGATTCTGGGCTATGTTTGGCTGTTCACTGTCACCGAAGTTGATGACGTTTCTTTTTCTCAGAGCTTGGACGACCTTTTTGAAAGCGGGACAATTTTCAATAGAATGTCCGGAAACCCCTGCATGGTATTCGCACTTAGCACTAGCATCATACCACTTGGGATACGGGGGTTGTATAGGGTCCACATGATAAGGTGAGACTACATGTCGATCATATAATTCGTGGAATAACTCCTTATAAGTCATGGGAATCGGATCAAATTGAGGCCTCTCTCTCCTTGGATCTCTTGCCCCCTGCCTATTGTCAATTTGGGGCGATGCTACCGTTCCCTGTGGTCGGGACACTGTGATATTATGGGAATCATACTGCCTTATTTTGTTGACTTCGTTTTCCTTCTTCCTCATCGGTTGTTTCTTGCTGGAATCTCCTCCCTCAAGCTTCCCGCTTTTGATCGCCATTTCAATCATTTCTCCCGCCATAACTATATCAGCAAAACTTCGAGAAGGATTACCAACAAAATGTGAGAAAAATGGAGCCTTCAAGGTATTAACAAAAAGTAGGTTCGTTTCTTCCTCTACCAACGGTGGGTGGACTTGTACTGCTATCTCTCTCCACCTCTGAGCATATTGTCTGAAATTTTCACTATGCTTCTTCTCCATTGCTTGCAGCACCATTCTGTTAGGCCTGACGTCCTTCACATGTTTATACTGGTCGAGAAAAGATTTGGCCAGGTCTTTCCATGTCCTGACATCAACTCTCCTTAGTTGATTATACCATCGCAATGCTGAGCCTACTAAGCTTTCCTGGAAACAGTGGATCAACAGCTGGTCGTCCCCTACGTAACCAGTCATTTTCCTGCAGAACATTGTGATATGGGCAGAAGGGCATTGGGTACCGTCGTATTTCTCGAAGTCAGGAGTTTTGAACTTGGGAGGTAGGACCAGATCAGGAACTAAACTCAGTTCCTTAGCGTCGAGACCATACAAGCTGGTATCTTCTTTCATAGCTTGTACTTCATTTGCTAGCTGCTTATATTGCTCCTGCAACAACTTGTTTTCGCTCTTCTTTGCTTCTTCATCAAGGTCCGGGACCTGGTGATATGGGCTTTCTTCGGGATGCGAACAAGATCCAGGTTGCGGATTTACTGCAATGCCGTCAGGATTTATGTGTACTTTGGTATGGACAGATGTTCCTTGGATATTCGGAGACTGTACCGGGGTAAACCCTGGGGGGTAAAGTGGTTCTTCACTTGTTTGCTCATGGGCCTTTCCGTGCTCTGGATTTCTCCCCCCCAGCATATTTGCCAACTTAGACAACATATCCTCTTGAGCCTTAAGCATCTCTTCTTGCATTTTCCTCAAATCATCTTGCAACTGCAATTGAGTTCTTTCTATTTGAGCAATCTTATCATCCATGGCCTTCCTTGTGTTATAGTGATGCTTGAAATTTCCCAGTATTCTGTAATGTATCCCTTATTGTTAATTTTAATGCTTTGAGGATGAATGCAAATTATGTGAAGTGCGATAAAAATGCAATACAAAACTTAAATTGCAAATAAAATGCAAATGCATGCAGAAAGACATTGATTCATAAGACGCTATCAGTCTTAGAACAACTTTCATTTAGGACAAAAGCATCATCTTTACAAGAAAAGTCCACTACAGAAATGGCCTAGCTCTCATGTTCAGCTCTACTATCTGACTGACAAGCCAATCGACCCTCTTTCCTACGCCTGATGCTGGATTGGCATAGCTCTGGATGACTTTTGCTTGGAGGTCCATCTCTCCCAACTGCCTCGCAACGCCGCTTAACTGATTCATGGTCTCTCGGATCACGTGATTCACGTTTGTCTTCCAGTCTCTAAAGTGATCGTTTGAGTTTTGCCATTGCAGTCTGGTGCCTTGGACGGTGCGCTCGAGACCAGCGATTTGTGTCTGGCAGCTTCGTAAGGCAGCCTCTAAATCATGAATCTTCTTTTGCAAAGCAACGTTCTCCTCGAGGCTAACCCTTTGATCCACTTGGCAACGCTGACTGTTTTCTGCAGATAAGGAACTTTCAAGCTGCATAACGTAGGCACTGTACTCTTCATTCTTTGCCTTGGCTCGAGCTAACTCTTCCTCATGCCTTGATTCCATTTCGTGCATCTCTTGATTGAGTACCTCTATCCGTTCGTTCTTTGCTCCGCACCTCTGTATCCAGAGGAATACTTCATCCTGTTTGCCTTGGAGCACATTCTCCCGATGTTGCCTTTCTAATTTTAACTCTTCTTTGCTTTGCCTCTTCTCAGTTTCGAGCTCGTCGATTCTTTGCTTTCGATCCTCAAGTTCAAGTTGCATGTTATTTGCCTTCATTCTGAGTTCTTCAATATTAGCATGCAATTCTTCTTCTCGCTTCTTGCTCAAGGTGTACCTTTGTCTTAACTCTTTAGCCTCTGTCCTTTCGCTCTTCAATGCCCTAACCCAGGACCTTCTCTCAGACTCAAGTTCTTGATTTCTTTTCTTCTCTGTCTCTACTTCTCTGACTCGGTGCTCTCTCTCGGCTCTGACGTCTCTAACTCGACGATCCCTCTCAGCCCGGAGCTCTAACCGCCACTGCTCTGAAGTTCTCCCGAGGCCAGCAATTGCCCGTGCTCGACTCATTTTTTGGTAATCGCTCTGTAAACTAGTGAGATTGGCCTCCACTTCATCCTTTCTCTTGCGCATAAGCTCAAACTGTGTATTATAGAACCCCCTATCGATGTCCAACATGAAATTCTTTTGTCTAAGGGCCTCACACTCTGCTTCCTTCCTGGCGATTTCCGCTTCGAATTCACTCTTTAGTATCTCCAACTTAGACGGTACGTATTTAAACTGTGCTTCCAAAGGAATTGTTTGGTCACGATCCGCCAACGGAAGGATATCATTCTTTCGCGCCGCCCTCCATGCCACGTAGTCTGGGGTCAGCATGACCTCAGCTGCTATGAAATCAGTTCTAAAGGTTGACTTCCACGCCTCTGACATTGCACGAGCAGTCTTCTTGTAGTGATCTCCACAGTACACAAATTCAGATGCCTTCAGACCGGATGTAGCTGGGATGAATTGGCGTGCCCCAAATTGCCTTAGTACCATCAGTGGCGCATAACCTACTCCACCCCATAACCCTAATAGGGTTACCCAATCGGAATCCCCGCATTTGTACAGCACATCCACAAAAGCTAACCAGGGGACGCGCCACACTATATCATGTTCCTGTAAATTTCTGAAGAGTGAAACCCAATCTTTCCTGGTGAGATGCTCTGGCCACTCTTTAGTGAGGAAATCTTTTAAGGGTGAATAGGCCGTAGAAAACCGTCGACTATACTCTCGGTCAATTTTCCAGAAGTGACTGCGTATCCAAACAGTAAGCAGCTGGACACACCCGGTGAAGCGGCTACTCTCAGCTCTTCTGCAACTGCTAAGTGCTCTGAATGTTTCAGCCAAAACCGTAGGAACAGGGTTTACCTTCCTTTCCAAACGCTCGAATAAATCGACCACTACGGCTTCCACGTGATAAAGAACTTTCGGGAAGATCATCAAACCATAAATTCCCAGGGCGAACATCTCCATGCTCTTCTCGATATCGCTATGCTTGACGATAAGCTCCTTGAGGCATGACCAAGGGAAGCAATCGGACTCTCCCTTCTTTTGGATCCGATCAGCAACCCACTTCTCTCCCATCCCAGTAATCCTTGCGAGCTTGCTCTTAAAGGATTGGGTCCTTGAGGCTTTTGAGTAGATACGGTCCAAGTGTATCGTCTCGAAATGAAACAAGGAGGTGTATTCTTCTAACGTGGGAGTCATGTCTTCCTTGTTGAAAGTGAAGCAGCTATATGCGGGATTCCAAAACTGGACGAGAGCTTTGATTAGGGGTTCGTTTACTTTCACATACAACAGAAGGGCGATGTCACCATACTTTTGCCAGAAAGAGTATTTCACCTCAGAATTCCAACTTTCCCAAATTTCGCGTAACTCTTGCAAATCGTTTTGCTTTAGACTGACCGGAGCAACCTCTGGTAGTACTGATATGTAATCCTCAGTCAAACTGTCGCCTTTCTTCCTCTGAGTTTCCTCGGACCACGACCTCACTTCTGCGTTATCCACTTCCTTGTTATGAAAGCTCTTGTCCATTTTATGACCGCCTTCTACTTTTATGACCACCTTGTGAATCAACACCTTTCTTCATGAATGATGATGCAATGCAGCAGTAATAAATAAAACACAAAACACAAACAAAAATAAAACTGTGTTAGTATATACAATGAATAGTCGAACAACATGGAGATAGAAAATATATACATCTTAAACCTTATTCACATGATATCTACCCAACATGATATCTACCCAATCATGCTTTAGTAGATCCTACCCGACATGATATTTACCCACATGTTTTGTTACTCATAAAAAAAATCCTAACCGCATGGTATCTAATTCACATGCATATTTGAAAAATAAACCTAACCACATGATCTCTAGTTCGCATACTTTTTGCCAAAAAAAATGAATTCGAGGGGAAAGTTAGAACGAGTTTCCCCTTTGTGTCTGCGGACAGAGATTAAACATAAGATGGGCAGAGTTTCAGTATTTCTAAAAGGGTCCTCGAATTGTCCTTTGCTGGTGCCCCCTTGGGCTTGCCAGACCCTCGATCCTCGCCCATTATAGGCTTAAAACGGATCAAGTTCAATTTCGAGAGGATACATTTCCCTATGTCCATGCGAGGAAACTCAATGTTTCACTCGTAAACATAAGGCATGTACCCCAGAGGTTACTAGCTAAAGCCCGTGCGGAGAAAGATAATTTTTCTCACGTAAGCGTAGCTTTCACCCCTACTTAACGGGACAGAGCACAATTAGAAGGCTCTAGATATCAAAATGGTTGTTGCGACTGTAAAGGAGAAACCCATAATCCTTTCCCTCGATCCAAGAAACACAACAAACTAAAGTGAAGGTCAAAAAACCTTAAACATGTAAATCACACGTTAGTACAACTATTTATTTGTTAATTAAAACGCAAATTAAAATGCAAACAACAATTTAAAACAAATCAGGGATCAAAAATCAAATTAAAGTGAACTTACAACTTTCGTTTGCAAAGACAATTAATTAATCGACTATAGGCCTGACTCTCTAAAGGTCCCCAGCGGAGTCGCCAAGCTGTCGAAACGATTTTTAACTGCGGGGGGAGCGATTTTGAAAAACCGCGTCATTTTTAATTATTCTCTTTTCAATTGAATTTTAATTAAAAACGATGCAATTTTAGAAAACCTCTCGTTTCGAAAAATTGGAAATTCCGTTACGGTAAAATAATAAGGTTCGAGGAGTCGCCACCAATCTTTGATTAGGGTGTGATTGGGCACCCAAAAACATTTTGTCATTTTAAATAAAAATTAATTAAAACGACAAGTAGAGGTCTGCGTTATCAAAATCTGAGTTCGGGAGTCGGTTACGTGTGGGGAAGGATTAGCACCCCCACAACGCCCTAAATTGGTACCTAGTCGATTAATTATTGTCTTTGCAACGAATTTCACAAGTTTGAGTTTAATTTGATTAATGATCCCTTTAGACGACAAACATGCAAATTTGCAACATTCAAAGCAAAAAAATAGATTTAATTTAAAATTACCAAGTCATTAGAAAGATAAAGAATATTCGATTATTTAAAAATATCGAGACCAGATCTTTAGTTCAGTTCTAACGACCTTTTCTCGAAAAGTTTAAATAGTCGAATATTTCCTTTTCTTTCGCTCCCAAATTTTACAATGATATATCCAAATTTAATTAGGCGTTACTGACGGGATACCATTTTAATTTAAAATCGTCAAAACAACTTTCCTGTAAGTTAAGGAAAGCCATTCTGATAATTTTAGATTAAAAGGGCATTACCCTTAATTCCGATTATGTGATTAGATCGAGTCATGCACATGAGGCTAAACATGCATAAAAGCTACACCTAAATATACGAACGCTAACAACATGCTCGGAATGTGATATCTCAATACAGAT